TTGGATAATTTTGTGAAACTCTGACACCATATAAAATAATTTGAATTAATGATTTAATTATAAGATTACAAATTGTTAAATACAGTACAAAACAAAGTTGTAGTTAGGGGTGAGCATGGTGCGGTTCGGTGCGGTTTTTGGCCAAAACCGAACCAAAATCCGCAACTTCGGTTATTTGAAGTTTAGAAACCGCATCGTTCGGTTTTTATGCGGTTCGGTTTTTGCGGTTTTTTGAGGTTCGGTTTTTTTTTTTTGCGGTTTTTTGTTAGTTTTTTTGTTTGGTTTTTGTTTTTCCTTTTTACTAAAACTCAGGTAACTCAACGAGTTACTTTGACTCGGATGAGGGGTGTTAATCATTTCTTGAGAAACTTTACATATAGATGAGGAGCGCCAGATTTTTCATCCCCAACAATGTGGGACTCCTCAAAGATGTGGGTAAAAGCCATAGACTTGACTCTCTTATATGAAAGGTGAGAATGGTGAAATTTTTATCTCAAAGAAGATGGGGGATACTCTTATAAGGCTGAAAAAATTAAAGCCCAAATGATATCTTGAAGATGAACCGATACCACCACCTCTTGGTTTGAAATCAAATGACACAACCATTCATCCTACATGTTTCTAATGCTCGAATATAATACGAATTAAATATAATATTTGTTTCACATATACATGTACATGTGATAATATCAATTAATGTATACATAAAAATGATATTATCATCACCATCACTAGTACTCTTCATATTTAAATATTAAAAAATGTAATAAACATTATTTGTTCTTACAAATATCATTATATGTATGCTTAAAAATATACAATCATCATCTGATAAGATAAATATTTATATTTATAGAAATTTTAATTGTCATGAGTTCTTCGTTTTTATAAATATCAACACTAATATATATATATATATATATATATATATATATATATATTATATATTATATATATATAATATATATATATATATATATTCGGTACGGTTCGGTTTTTTGCGGTTTTTGCAAGACTAGAAACCGCACCACACCGAACATTTTCGGTTTTTGCAAAACTAAAAACCGCACCGTCGGTTTTCATTTCGGTTTCGGTTTATGCGGTTTTTTCGGTTTGAGGTTCGGTTTTTGCTCACCCCTAGTTGTAGTCACATCACTAGGAGAGTTGGTTAGAATACAAGATAATGATAAGATCATAAGATAATACAAAACTAACTTATATATTATTTATCTTTAACAATGCATGCTTGTATCTTACCAATCATCTTAAAAGACATTTGACAGAATTTATGTATATCGGTAAAGGCATATAACGTATTTAGGCATGTAATGAATGTCGAATAGATGTGGTACACAAGGTGCGACATTATGGGCCAAAGCACACTTTTTTCCCTTTTGTATGGTTGTACACCCAAATCCCATCTAATTGGGCACACCGCTTTTTCAATGCAACCTAAAGAATCCAGCCACACTACGCTCCGAACACATCAAGGCCACAACATACTTGTGGCTCACAAATCATCCTTCTAAACTTTCTGTTTTTGGCCTTCTTTTATTTAAATAATATTTTTTTTTAATTTATTAAAAGAAATGTAGGACACGATGATTTTAACTTTAGATCATAAGATTTAACATTAAAATAATTGCTATGGTCTGTAAATTGATATTAATGTATTATACAGACATCAATATATGATATTGCATATCTATAAAATGATGAATATGATTATTACCATGTTTGCACAAATTACCATAAAAACATTTATACATACTCCCATATGATAATGACAACTTTTTAAAGCTTAAGGTTATTTAAAATAAACATTGAAGAAGTTATTAACAATATAATACGTGGCTTATTTTATTTTTATATCACATGCTTATTATTCAGAGCATTGATATCAATATCTATAATAACTTACTATTTTTGTTATATCATCTTTCTACTATTTTTATTTAATAAAATCAAATTATTGAATGAAACAAGAACAATATAAAAACACAAAAGTAAAATAAACACTTAATAAATAACAAATGAGAGACAGAAAAAACAACTCTTAATCATTCTTTCAATTTTTTTATATAACACTAGATGATAATCCGTGTACTACGGTTGGTTGACATTAATAAAAGAAAATAAATACTCTAAGAATAACAATCATTAATCTTGCAAATAAATATTTTTTTTACATAATTTATACAGTGTACGTATCTAATCATTTAACGCATCTAACTTGATTAAGTTTTCGATAGTTGTTTATTTGTAGCATTTTGAAAACGGAATGTTGATTTTATGAGATTATATCCTGATTTCTTGAGCCACATTAGTTTATTGTTGATTTATTATGGGCAAATTTAAAATTGAGAAGCAATAAAATACACATGACATAATATTAATTAGGGTGTGTATTAGAGTGACACATAAGAAAAAAAAGAGTAAAACTATTCTTTTATTAGTACAGAGAGATATTATAACACATTGACTCTTATCATTCTTTAAACTTTTTTTATAAAACATTGGCGTACCACATCAACGAAAAAAAATCAAACTAGCATGAACCAGAAAATAGATAAACGAGTAAAATTAATATATTGCATACAATAATGGGTGTAAATCTAAAAAAACCATAAAAATAACAAAATTTAAAGGTTTTTGTAGCATTATCTCAATATAATATGCTTTACTATTTATTCATTAATTAAGCGTGTGGGGGTTATGATGATGTATTAAAATATTTTGATAATTTAAATATCAATGTTAATTGATAGATTTTTTTTGAAATATCCCCTATTAAGATATGATGTTAGATGTATGTTTAAAATGGACAAACTAATATTATAATTGTTTTTTTAAATTTGTTATTAAAAATAATAGTAATAAAGATAGTTTATATTGCAATTCTTTTTATAGTATTCTATCATAAAATGATAAAATAACATCTTTAGTTAAAATGATAACTAATAAAGTTATGAATCGATTTTCCCGATAGAAAGTATTTCAACAAAACAAAACAAAAGTTATTAAATCATCCACAATTAATAAAGGTTTGACAAGAGTTAAATAAAGGATAATTATGATTAAATAAGAGTTTAATAAATGGTAATTAGAACTGAATAAAAGTTAAATGAAATATAAATGATGACACACGAAAAAAATTAAATGAAAGAGTTGTATATGATTAAATGAAATCCAAGATAATCAATGTTATTCTTTTTCAATTAAATTTCAAAACAAAAAATCAATATAATCATATTTTTATATTGATTTTTTATCACCCACGGATTACCCACGGGCGATATTCTTTTTTTTCATTTTTTTTACCATTAAATGTTGTTCTATTCGTCCAATCTTTTATAAAACTTAATCAATTGATGTATCCACTTGTTTGTTCAATTTATTTCACAATATACACTTAAACATACATAAATACTTTTATATACCCATACGTACTTAATAATTCAGTATACTCCTTTATTTCATCAACTTAGTAAACTCATATATGCATGTGTATGTATATGTATCTAATAAATTGATAAAACAAAAAAAAATACATTGATTTATTAAGTTATGTTAAGCATGGAACGAAAAAAACAAGGTTTGAAGGTCGGAAAATAAAAAAACGATTCTAGGATGTGGGTAATTTTTGTTTTATCCTTTACAATGTTTAATAAATCAATGTATTTCTTTGTTTTTATCAACTTATTATACACATATATGCATACATACTTTATAAATCAATGTATCATTTTTTTTCAACTTATTATTCACATACATATACATATGTATGTAGATGAGTCTAATAAGTTGATGAAACAAAGAAATGCATTGATTTAGTAAATCGATAGAAATATGGAACTGAAAAACAACGTTTAAGGGACGAAAATGAAAAAAAAACAGTGTTTTTCTGTGGGTAATCCGTGGAAAATCACCAACGCTTTACCCACAAACCAAAAGTGTTTCCCCATTTTTCGGAATCTGTGGATAAGCTAAAACCATGGGTGATGGCGATATTGTTCCCAGGGATTTTCCACAGATTTCTTTCTGTGAGTAATCTGTGTGTAATCCGTGAGAAGTACTTTGTAAATTAGGATTTTTTTAGGTTTCATAATTTTTAAAAGATATGTTTTTTAATATTATATTTTTTTAGTTATTGTTTATATATTTTTTTGAAAATTTACAGTAGTGTTTAAAAATATGATGATAATTGTTAAAATCCATTAAACATAATAGTACATTGAATGGATTATGGATATTAAAAATTAAATTTAAATATAAAAACTGATCGACAATAATATGAAAAGATATTGAATTCTTTAAATTAGACCGGAGGGTATGGGTGGAGAGTTTCCCTCACTTTTTGTGGGCCACACCACCTTTCCCCTCACTTTCATTTCCTTCACCTAAACCTAAGGAATGAGTTGCAAACTTCCCTCATTATTTTTTTATTTTTTTAAAAAAATATATTTCCTATAAATATTATACTCATTTTGTAGGGAATTAAAAACCATGAGTTTTGCTATATTTTTTTTATAATTTTTAGTAGATATATAATTTAATAAGTATTAAAAAAGATAAAAAAAGTTGGCTACTAGGAATAGGAAAGAGAATGAGGAACCCTCACCTCTTTCCCTCAGTCAAGGAAGGGATGGTGTTCAGCTGAAAGGGAAAAGGGAAAGCTTCAGTCACTCTTTCCCTCACTCATACTGTCTAGCATTACAATGGCCTAATTCATTGAAGACCTTATCTTATCTTGTTAATGGTTTAAGATGATAGAACTAGAAGTTAGAAACTTGGAATGTAAAAATATTTATATAAAATTAAATTAAATTAATATACACATATGCACTTTATTTATTTGATACCCTTATAAAACAGTCCCTTCGGTTCCCACTTCTACTACTACCATCTGCCAAGTGCCAACACTACTCCGCCTTTTTACGATAAAGATACTTTTTATACTACGGCAAAGACAACTTCCCCTCATCGGAAAATTAAAATTGATGGAAGGTACTGGTATCAGATTGTTTGGGAAGAAGATTGCGTATCCAGAAAGAGGGAATATTGCTAATCTTCCAGTCGTCTCCACCGCCGCAGTGGAGTCTAGTGATGGTGGTCATAATCAACACGGTGGTTGTGATCTCAATCGTGGTTTGACGATGGAGGAGAATAATTATTTGCAAGAAGATAAGAAACAAGAAGATGGCAACACTAAAACTCCCATGGGTGACGATGCAGCTGATAAAGCTCTAAAGAAACCCGACAAGATTCTTCCGTGTCCTCGTTGTAATAGCATGGACACAAAATTCTGTTACTACAACAATTACAATGTCAGGCAGCCTCGCCATTTCTGCAAAAGCTGCCAGAGGTACTGGACTGCCGGAGGCACCATGAGGAACATGCCGGTGGGATCAGGTCGCCGGAAAAACAAGAATCCAACATCCCGATGTCAGTTTGTAACCATTTCCCAAGAAGCTTTCCAAGCAGCTCAGATCGAAGTTGCTAATGCTTGTAAAGGAGTTCAAAATGTTCCTCTCAAATTACTTTCTTTTGGCTCGGATTCACCGGATTTTAATTGTAGAAACAAAGAAAACGGAGATGATTGCTCCACTGGATCCACTGTGACTACTTCTAATTCCTCGGTTGAGAGAATGCACGAAAGAAATGGATTCCATTCCCATGTACCGAGTATTCCAGGGCATCCTTGGTCTTATAATCCTTGGAATTGCGCCATTCCGATTCCAGCAGGACCGATGTACCCTTCACCTTACTGGAATTATATTCCTTGGTTACCCCAAGCCGACTCTTCCATCTTAGGAAAGCATTCGAGAGAAGGGGAATTGATGAGTCCAAATGGTTTTGAAGAGGCAAAGAAACAAAAGAGTTCAGTTTTGGTTCCAAAGACTCTTAGAATTGATGATCCTGATGAAGCTGCGAAGAGTTCTATATGGTTAACACTTGGCATCAAGAATGAAAGCATCCGTACAGGAGGGATCTTTAAGGCCTTCCAAACAAAGGTCGAAGAAAATAAGAAGCACCATGACATTACTACTTCTCCTGTATTACAGGCCAACCCTGCTGCTTTGTCTAGGTCACTATGCTTTCAAGAAAGAGCCTAAGAATGAACAAATCGTAAAGGTTTGATCAACACTTTGTTTCGGGGTGATATACTTTCAGAAATGGTTAAGGGTTCGAGTCTCAATGGTAACTGCAATACGAGGATTACCATTTTAATGTAGATTGGGCTCTTTGTATGCACCAGATTCTTAACAGGCTGATGTGTACCTCATTATCTCACATGATGTTCATGAGGAAAACGGGTGAGCGCAGAAGTTACAGGAAAAATTACCATTGTTACATTACCATTGTTTCATATATGTGTTTTTTAAATTTAGAAATAGTAAGATACAAGGATTATTAGCACTACGAGAAACACAATGTTTGTTGTATAGTTTTAGGTATTCCAAACTTTTTTTATATTGATATTTGTTTAGTATATATTTCTTTTTCCTAAAAAGTGACTCTTTTTTCGTGTCCATATATCATTTTTCTACTTTAGGATCATAGAATGGAGACCATTAGATTAAGTCCATTCACCAGGAATTAAATGGATTTGTCCATTTTTGATAGTGAAGTCGATATAAAATCTGCAATAAAGTATATAATATTAATACATATCTTGATAACTCTTGGTGGGCATGTCAAAATCATACAAAAAATATGTGTACCATGAGAACCGGCCCTAAAGAAAACATGTAGATATTTTCATCTTCTCATCAATTTTTAGCCACATTTTTGTTACGTGGACCCAAAGTGCACTTAATGCCATATATCTACTTGTTTTGAAATAGTCATTTGTTGCCTTTTTTGCTTTCCGCCTTCATTTTCGACCCCTTTTTTCTCTTACAAATGTTCAAAAGTTTTTTGTTCTTATTCATTTGTAGACAAGTAAAGTTCACTCTTTCTAAAGATTTGTTTAATATGAGAGTCCATTGATTGATTGATCTGAGCCATTCATTAGTAAAAATATCTGTCTACTGTGCTTTGTTGTCATGTGGATACATCTAATTGAAAAAACAGCAGGTCCATGGCTCGTTGTTGAGGCCCATATGATCAAGAAACATCTCCGTAGACGATGTGGAATCTTATCTACAAACCTAACAGCTCTTAGGAGAGCTCCAAAAGATGTAATAGATCTTCGAAAAAGCTTACACTGCCAAACTGTCATGTTTGTGTTGTTTGCTTCTTGTTTGGGATTGGAGTTTTACAGTACAGATGCAAACCAATACAAGTCAACAATCGTCAACTTTCTCTATAAAATTAACAAATAAAATATATTTCACACTTGATTAAGTTCTTATACTTGGTGTGTTTCTTAAGTAAATTGGGGTTTCGTCCAGGGGTATTTGTTTAAATAAATTGGGGCCGAGAGCAAGATTAACCCCTGTTTTAATATCGGGGGCGGGGGCGATGGTGGACAGTCCAGTCCCGAAGTCTCGTTAATAAATTAACCCCCATAGAGGCGTCGTTAATAAATTATATATAATTATATAAATATAATAAATAATAGTATGATTTTTGACCTGCCAAAATTTAACAAATTTTTTTTTTTAAGTTGTTTGTAACATGTAATTTTGTTTTTATAAATAACTATTTGTTATTCAAAAAATGGCTTCTTTTAGTCCAAAATCAATTGGGGGCAGGTGTAATAAGGGAAATTCGATGATGGAGATGAGGGATGCGACCCCCATTCACGCCCCAACAGGCGAGGACATTTACAAGGGCATTTGAGTATTTATGGATTCTATCCATGGGTTTTTCATGGATCAAAGAAATTTATAAATTCCTAGGAAATTTAGTAAATATAGATTCCCAACCAATAGGATTATTCATTATCTATATTTTATATTATAAAGTATATTCATCATATCTTGAATTTTAAGATGTATAAATTACAAAGCTTTTTGAACAAATCAATTATGCATAAATAAATCATTAATACTTGCCAACAAAATGAAGACGTTAATACAGAAGGTTATTAATAAATTCAATTTGTAGCAAAATAAAGTCATGTATATAAATTAATTTATATTTCTTAAACTACATATAAGGTCAAAAAATAAACTATAACACCCGAAAATTTGAGGAGCAACTTTGGGTATAAATCATCATTTAAGGATTGAACACGGCGTGTTGGAGGCACCAACACGGTGTGTCCAGATAAGAAGAGGCGCGAGTTTCATTTTGGTCAACACGACGTGTTACCTCTTGGAACACGGCGTGTTGATGGCTAGAATGAAACCCTAATCTCCTGGGTTTTGCCCCCTATTTAAAGGAATGTAGAGGCTAGGGTTTGTTCACCCTCAGCCCCTACCAGCCCCTCAAGCCCTGAATGAAACCCTAATCATCTTTCCTTCCCATTTTTGAGCTAGTTTGGTGTTTTTAAAGCTAAAGAAGGAAGAAGGTGGATGAAGGAAGCAGAGATCCAGCAAGCAAGCCCTAATTCTTCAGTTTGGCACTCTTCTGGACCTTTGTAAGTGTCCAAGACTCGATTTTTATCATTCAAAGTTGTTAGATCTTGGGTTTTGTCCCTTTTGCTTCTTGTTCTTGAATGTTGGAATGGTTAGATCTCATAAAGTTTGCAACTTTATGAATCTCCAGGTCAAGGTGACCTAGTAGTGTCTTGGATCTGGTCTATAATCAAGTTTTGATGACATGCATAGAGATTAGGTCATAAATCCTCATTTTGACCTAATATGGGTTCAAGACATGCATTGGACATGTATGTCTAAAAAGCACCAACCTTTGGGATGGTTTAGGTGTTTGAATCACTTCTGGAAAGGATGGACTCCAGAATTTAAGGATTTAGTACGTATTAGTTAAGCCCTTACATTATCAAGCTTTATGGTTTGGGTTTTGGACCTTTTTAGTAGTCCCTAATGGTTAAAGTTTGAAACTTTATCCTTCTTAATCACATCTTGGTCTAGATCTGAGCTTTGAAGCTCTTGGAGTCGAAGAGGCAGCTGAATGTGTTAAGTTGTTGGAACTTCGGCACACGGCGTGTTTCGAAGCCAACACGACGTGTTGGCTGGGATTTGCCTGAGCGTGGCCAAGGGAAACACGACGTGTTGGGTCAACATGGACTGTTGACCTTGACCGTTGACTTTGACCAAGTTGGACCTTGAGGGTATTTTGGGTATTTTGTGATTTTGATGGAGTTGGTCACTTGGTGGAAACAGGTACCGGTTAGAGAGTTGAGATTCGTAGTCGGTCCTCATCAGTTATGTTCAGTCTACGAGGTGAGTTTTCCTCACTGTACTTACGGGTCGAAGGCACCAAGGCCGACCCTTTGGATTGTTATCCTGGTTTATCGTATGATTGTGTGTTGTAGTGATCTGTTAGATCTGCATCCTGGTAGATAGGATGATGTTATGCTTAGTGATCTGTAAGATTTGTCTGTTTGTTTACTGGCTGGTTATTTGTATGCTTATCTATTATATGTGCACATGTTTGGTCGGTGGCTGAGGCTTCACTGCTTTGTGCGTAAGCCGACAGGTCGTGGCATTCCAACCGATGGTTGAGGGTCTAGGTTATTCCAACCCGATGGTTGATTGTACCCATAGTATATTAGCATTCCAACCCGATGGTTGATTGGACCCGTAGTATGTTGGTATTCCAACCCGATGGTTGAGGGCCTAAGGTATCCAACCCGATGGTTGATTGGACCCATAGTATGTTGGTATTCCAACCCGATGGTTGAGCGTCTGGGGTATTCCAACCCGATGGTTGATTGGACCTATAGTATGTTGGCATTCCAACTCGATGGTTGAGGGTCTGGGGTATTCCAAACCGATGGTTGATTGGACCCATAGTATGTTGGCATTCCAACCCGATGGTTGAGGGCCTGGGGTATTCCAACCCGGTGGTTGATTGGACCCATAGTATGATGTTATTGTATATGTGCTATTGTTGTGTGATTGTTGTGTGTTGGTATTTTGGGGGAACTCACTAAGCATTGAGCTTACAATTTTGGGTTATGTTTCAGGTACCTCAGATGACCGTGGGAAGGCGAAGGCGTGATCGTGCACCTCCTCGTGTTTTGTTCTATGATTTTGGAAAAACTATGATATTAAACATGTTTTGAAAACTATTTTGTAAACAATGATGATTTATGAGTTGTTTTGAAAATTTAAATTTTTCATGAATTTTATGGATGTTACATAAACATTTTACTTAAAAGTGGTAATTTTTTTATTACTTAATAACTATTAATAAAATTTAAAAATTATTTCTCCGTGAAAAACTATTCACCAGAAAAGCTATTTGTCGTTGCCGCTTTGCGCAGACACACATCTAGTTCATATAAAACAGAATTGAGCAATTAGATAATTTTAATTGTATTATATAGCTTGGACATTTATATCTATTAATTGGTTTGAATTATCGTTAATTGGTTTGGTTTTGGTTCCTAAATTGTGAAAATTAAAAAATACGAACAATAATTTCTCATTTATTTATTGATTATTTTGTATAATCTTTAATCAATTATTACTTATTATTCTGTTGGAGTTGATTTTTTCACATATATTAGAAGCTTTGACCTTGATAAAAAAACGTTAGTCACTACTTATATTTATAAAAAGTCAACAGGTTTTCGGAATGTGTCTCGACTCTTAAAAGCTTGTGAGAACGAATCCAACCAAATTGTAATTTTGCTGCTTCACATCGGATTTTAATTTAGTTTGCACTACTAAAATCCCTATTTCAAAAACCGCCATAAATTCATATTCATTAGATTGAATACGATTAAACAAATCCGTTCAATAAATTCATATTCTTTAGATTAGATACGACTGAACAAATCCATTCAAACTAACACTTCTACCAACCATAAAAAAGACTTGAAAGTCAAATATAACTTTTATTTGTGTAAAAGCTTTGTGCAAAAGTTTATGTGGAAAAAATAACCCAAAATTTTGAAATATATAAAATGACGTAAATTTAAAAAGTTACAAATCTTCTACAAAATCTCAAAACCCACTTTAAAGTAATTTTTTGATTTAAAGAATTTTTGCTTAAAATAAAAGTTTTACAACATAATTTTAGCTTTAATTCAAGT